GAAATAGCATTGATGTTTCTCCATTGACAATATTAAGCATCTTGGAGAGTTTCTAGACTCCTAATCCTGTTCCTGCTACAGAGAAACTATTAGTTGTTTTCTTTGTCATGCCTCCATATTGCTGCTGATAAACTTCCTTTGCAAAGGTGAGTGTCATTGTCTTTCTTTACCTGGGAGAAACTACAGCACAGATATAAAGGATGGTTCATCCATGTTGTCTTAGTGATGTAGTGACTGAGCCTGCTGTTTCCTGATGGTTTGTGCCTTAGTCATATCCTTGTGTAAGGCTTGTCTTACCAAGATGGTTCTAGGAAGTTCAGATTCTTCCTCCCTCCAGCTTCCCAGACTGGCCAACATCCTGCCGGTATTGGTGAGCAGGAAGAGGTTGTAGGGCTAGGGATGCTGAGAAATGGATGATTAGAAGTCCAAAATCCAAACTCCATCTTAATTATCTGCTAAAAAGGAAGAGGGGTATGATTATGTGTGTCTTAAACCCAAAGAATCCCCGGCTAATGAAGCCTGTAAGGGGAGAGCACTTCCGGTGCTGTGGCACTGCCTGTGCGTTGCACACAGCAGGTGGCAGCCCAGTCTTGCTGAGAGCAGTGCTCCTTGTCACCATGTGCCCATCCCAGGCAGGACCCGGTGGAGGCCTAGTCCCAGAGAAGGTGAGAAGTGGGGAGCCAGTGCTGCTGACGTGCTCTGTTGCTGTGCAGACCAGGCCCTCGCAGTGCTGAGTGCATGAGTGAGGGGCAGCCAAGATGGCGCCAGGTGCCTGCTGGGGGCTGTGAAGGGTGTGGGTGAAAGTCCCTCTCTCTGTTTATATATATACACACGCTTCTTAACGTGGGTGTCAAATGTCCTCTAATACTTGTTTCATGGCAAGATGCCTGATGGCAAGATCTGCCTTTTGTTCTGGTGATGCAGAAATGATCCATGAGGCTTATTTCTTGGCCTGGCAAAGCTGTTTGAGAGCCAGTGACAGCTGCCATGCTTTTCTTCAGGAAATCCCCAATCTTTGCAGCCAGGATTAAGTAAAACCTCTGCTTTGATTTAGTTTCTTCAGAATTGCTGTTCTGATGAATCATAGCCTCTGATGTGACAGGAATGGGGTGCCAGCACAGGCTCCAGCAGGAGCTTCTGTGGACTGCAAGGTCCAGGCTGAGTCAGGAGGTCACAGGAGGCTGCTCATTCCACAGCTGGTGATACACCTCTGCCTGTTCCACACAACAGGGAAAACCAGGTTATGGATCTTCTTTGTCACAGTCCTTTCTGTGACCTTTTGGCAAGACCAAGGGGGCACTTGGCTGTTACCCCTGGGGACTTGCTGTGTGCAGGGAAGCCCACATGGGGCAAGCCTGGCTGGGCTCCTGGGGAAGTGTCTGGTGTGGCAGAGTTCAGAAGTGAAAAGTCGTAAAACTGGATACTCTGTGACTGATGCAGAAAATCTAATAAAAGCATTAGCCAGACTCTGCTGTGGAGACATGGCTGCTGAGTTCAGGGTGTGCATGGTTGACTAAGGTTGAAGTGTGAATGTGGGTGTTTCCTTACTGCTGGGAGTGGTGGGGAGCTGCAGTCTGTCACCTTGTTACAGCTCCGCTGTCAGACCCAGGACGGCAGAAAGCAAGCTGGCAGCATTAGTCATACAGTCTGACTGGAAATTGCAGGTTGCCTGGCTGCACTTAGTAAGTACAGAGGCTCTGAGGTGTTTCACCATGAGCCACCTAAACCTGCTAGGTAAGATGTGTGTGTGTTTTCAAGACTTCACCTCATTGATCAGTGATTTCCAGAAACTAGTTCATGTAGGCTAAAATATATGGGATCTAACAGATAATCAGGTACTCTTTGAGACAGTCTGTGTTCACCTGACACCATGGTTGCTATTTAAATCAATAAATGAAAGAATGCTTCTGTAGTTTGTCTCATGTTTGAGCTCTCTAGGTGAGTAATTTCATAATGTTTTTCCTTCTGTCTATCCTTTATGATAAATGATAAGGAAATTACTCAAAATACTCACCAGCTACCCTCTGATTAGACTTTGAACAAGTGCATTTGGGAGAGATGCTGATGTTCTGAACCACAGGTGTTCAAGTAACAGTGTATCTGCAGGCTGTCCTTTTTCTACTTGGCTATCTTGTCCTTAGGCTCTTCCAAGAGAGCAAATATGTTCTGACATAATTTGCTTATGCCTTAACAGTTAATGTAAGGAAAACTGTAAAATTCAGAAGATGGCGTTTTCTTTAGCTGCTTTTGGTATAAATATTCTGCATTTTAGCACTCAATGGACTGTTCTCAGGCACACTTTACAAGTTTCAAAGTCCATTTACTTTAAGTGGTCAAAACATCCCTAGCGAAGAAAACTTTATACTTCATTTAACCTTTCTTAGACACTGCAAGAACCAGCAAATGAGGTTCTTGCAATGTACCTCATTAGATTTGAACCCATTTGTCTTTATGGGTGAAATGTAGAGAAGTTCTAATGAAGCTCTAAAATCCAGCTTCCATGCTAATGGATTAGAATGACAATAAAGAACATTTTTTTGTGGTGTTTTTTGTTGGTTTGGGTTTTTTTGTTGTTGTTTTTTGTTGGTTTGTGGTTGGTTTTTTTTCAGAGGGAGGGGGATCTAATCACGGTTGCTGCAGTGGCACATCAGAAGATTTATTTTGCTTCTGAAAGCTCAGGTTCAAAAAAATTCCATTCTCGATAGGAGCTCATTTTTCTGACCATGCATACTTTTGTGTGTGCACTCTTCATTTAAATTGGCAATTTGTTCTTGTTCTATGTGATAAAACAAAGACTGAGTTGAATACTTACGTTCTTTGCATGATTTTAATGTCTGCTGGAAGGTTTCTCTTAGCTCTGGAACAGGTTTTTGTGTGTGACAGTAATTCTATTCTGGTTCACAGTGCAGATACCCAGGAAACCCTTCCAAATAGCTTGTACACTATGCTTCAAATTAACCTACATATCATACTTGTGTACCAAATGGAATGTACAACCCACTTTCATCTTTTTTTCAAAAGCACTGATACTTTCTTTCCTGCAAGACAAGTTGCATTTTTCCTTCTATAAAGATAGGAGGGGGAAGATGGACACTTCACGTTTCAACACAGTCATGCATGCTTGCTGCTTTTGTTCTTCCTTTCATTAACTCTATCAAGATTTGGCACAACAAGAGCATTATATAAGACTAAATAATTCTTACATAAATCTGAGTGAATGCCTTTCGTGAAGTACTCAGTACTCATCATGGCTGGAAGTAAAATGAATAATTTCCTTTTTAAACAGGAGCTTTAAACCTTGTACTTTGTGTAGTTAATTGCCACAAGCCAAAATAACCTTTTGAGCTCTGAATTTTCACAGCTGCAGACTGGAAGAAAAAAAAACCAAAACAAAAACGCCTCACACTGATATGTAGAAACTTAAGAATTTCCAAAATAAATTATTCCCTACTCCAACTGCCTCTTTTAGCACAAAGCCCAGCTCATTTTTGCCAGAATGTGAAACGTTCCTACCATGTGTCTGCAGACCCAAGAACCTATCATCTAAAGGACAGAATGAGAAAGAATAAGACATGGACAGCATGAATTTGACACTTCAAGAATAAAGTGGAGAACAGTTAAGAGGTCAAGAAGCACAAGTAATTAAACTTTAGCTAGAGGCTACAGATTAAGTAGGTTTAAGGCTCAGTAGGTCAGTAAGAGAGTCCTGGAAGACTTGACATGTTCCTGTATGTAGGCAAAAACAGAGATGCAGTTTGTGGATACTTTTAATCTAAAGGAATAAATAACTGTATTACAAGACAAAATTAGTATGTGGAACAGGAAAAAACAAATCAGAAAGCATAATTGTCAGTCTCCCTGAAAAAAAAAAAAAGTGAGAACCACTATTGGGAGAAGTAAGAGGCTGCAGAAACAGTATTGGGACTGCAGTCATAAAACCCTGTTATGCTGGAAGAGAAATTCTTTGGCCTGTCTTCTACTATGGGATGGTTATCTCCTGGTACACGAGTGAGTTCCTTGCTTCAGTGAAAGACAAGAGCTGGAGCGAAGGAGCTGGTAGTGGTAGAGGAAGTTTGTGAAGAGAAGTAGTGGGCTGGCAGTAGGAAGACATGGAAAGAAAAGGGAGGCTGAAGGTCTGAAACCTACCAGCCATCATGTTTAGGAGGAAAAGAAGCAAAGGAAAGCAGGGAAAAATATTTGGTAACTATCAAATGAAGCAAACAATCTCTCCATTGAGCAGTAAAGAAGACCTAAGGCAGGGGAGAAGGACGAGGTTAAAATAATCTGCTAAAACAGCACAATAATTAATCAACACAAAAACTGAAATCCCTTGCTGGCAAGCATAGGGATGGGAAGTATGGTGTATAGTCAGTATATTAAAAGACCAGTGGATGGCAGCACATTTTTACTACCAAAATACTTTTTTGTTGTAGCTCATCTGCTGGCTAATACATCACATGTCCCAAGAAAAATCCATGTTTGACTCGGATAAGTTAACACAAGCTGCAAAGATTTGTGTTTTTTTGTTTAGAGTTCATATTTCTCTAAGCCAGTGGTGACCACTATTGCAACTGTCCCACACTAAGTCATCTGGGAGATAAGCAGCATGTTTTACAAGGATGGGAGTGTGATAGAGAACAAGAATCACATCATGTGACTTAGCTATATGTACCATCTAAGAGCTTCTAAGAGTATTTTAGGAATAAAAACTCACCAGGCTATGCCTGAAGAATCACCTTAGTGTATTACTTCTGATACTTTAGTGTGGTCTCAGACCCAAGTTTATGGTTCTGCTCTGAAGCTGTTTTTTTTCTCAAAAGTTGGGAATAAAATCTGTAAATTGTAGACACAGGCTTGAGATACAAAATGATATATGGAGAGAAAAACTAAGTACCAATTCAGAACATAGCATTGCACCCATCCAACCAAAAATTGGTGTGTATGGAGTAGTTAGTTACAGGAAAGACTTATTTGCTAATTAGAGTTAAGAAAAAAACACGTTATTCTTGCTTATCATATTTATTCACTCTAAGTGGAAAAAATCTGACAGTCAGAATGGATTTGACTCATTACCATACATACTGTCTATATTCCCTGTTCACATACATTTCAACTGAAGAAGAAAAATACATATTTTAAAAGAACAGTTTATAAATTCATTTGATAAACAGGCTTCCAATAAAATTGTGAAAGTTAGAAGGAAAGATTTTTCAAGACTCATGTTTTCTGAGGCAAAACACTTAAAATAAAGCACACCTGACATCTGACTTCCATATACCTCAGAGGTTTTCTATGTAGTCTTCATTAAGGTGTACCTACTAAATGTTTCACAGTACCAGAGCATGAGTTCCTCCATCAGCTTCACAACCTGTCAACCAGATACTCACTATAAACAATGCTTCTATAAAAAGGACAGTTCAAATACAAAAAAGAAGAGGGCATTAGCAGTCAAGTTTCTTTGGGAGATAGTACATTGCATTTGGTTCTGACTTCCTTACAAACAGCAGCAGACAAAAAGCATGGTAATCGTTTTCAATTACTTGAAGCTCTTCAGTTTTCAGAGCATTTATAAAAACAGGTCTGATTATAATAAACTGATATTTGCATAATTAACTTTGAAACAAAGCATTTTGTTAGTGATAAATGCATTAAGAGCTGAAATATGTTAAGACAAGCTATTCTGTTTGTCAGCCTGTCAGATGTGTGCTGAAGCTTCCCCTTCTAATTACAAGATGTTTAGTGCAGCACAACAGATAATTTAAAATTAATATAGAAGCTGGAATGTTTTTTCAGTTGTAGCACACTACATCTGAGAAGATTACCATGAGAAAACATGAAAATGAAAGAGGACTGAAAGCAATGATTTATAGACGTTGTAATTTTTCACTTAGAAATTCTTCCACACTATCTGTATTCCACTTGAGGATGCTCAGTTCTTCTGCAATGTTCCCACTGTCGTCTAGTAGCTTTAGTACAGGGTCAGAACCACGCACATACTGCAGGGAAAAAAAAATAAAATTCCATTACTTTGGCCTGGGAAATTGGCACTCCCTCTCCCCCACCCACACAATTAATTTAAAGCAATTTCGAAAAACAGTGAAACATCCAGAGAGTACTTAAAAATGGAGCACTAAATTAAATCAGAGTATTCTGGGCAAACTTCGGCAATACAATTTGTGCTAAAAAAATCAACCTAAAAAGCCAAAGCTTAAAATTTAGAATTCTTAAAGAAAAAACAAGCTTGGTTGTTCATGAGAATGCTCAATGCTACAATTATTCCAGTGCCACAAATTTTGTTCTGATGTTATGAATTTCATTACTAGAGTGTTTAACACCAATGTATTCTAATTTTCTTGAAGAAAACATATCTATAAAAATCAAATTAAGCTTATGAGATCAGTCTTTCAGCTTGTTCTCTCCCATGCTGCTACCTCCTCTCCAACATTTTTTCTCCTACTGCCAGACTCAAAGGAGTGGAGTTCAAAAGCTAGAGTTTGTGTGCATGTGTCTAGGCAAAGGAAGAACTGCTAAGAGGGAGACACCATAATGGAGCTCTGAAGACAGAGAAATGCTGTAAGTTGCATGCCCCACTAGCAGCAGTTGGCCAGTTGTTTGCAGCTCTGGATTAGATGCCTTCTTGCCTAGTCCTAAGGAATGAGGGTGGGAGAAAAGGAGGAACCCTAAGGGATGAAGAAGCCTCATTTTGCAGGAAATGGAAACACATCAATTTAAAAGCAGCAAGTATTTATCTTGAGATCCTGAACACAGTTACTTGCCTTAACAGCTAGGAAACAGCTTCAGTTCAGACTTCTGACATGCATTTAATGTCAAAGAGGAAAGTGGAGGAATAGATCAAATGCAGAGATGTGTGTGTATGTCAGAAATATCTACTATGTAAGCTAAAGCATATGCAGGGAAGCAGTGCCATAAGCACAAATATTCTACTTCAGCTGTGTGAAGTTACTGAAATTAGATTATTGAATCAAGCAGCTGAATGATTTTTCTCATATAATCAATAGCTTTTTTACTATTTCAGAAATCTCCAGTTGCTTTAACAGTTCAAATTTCTACTATCAATTTCGAATGTAATCACATTCTTGCCTGCTGTGTTGTTATCTGTGCTTGCTAGGCTTTGCTGGTAAATAATACTTTAATGCTTCTGAAGACTGACTAAGTCACAAAATATGTAATGCAAATAAAAGCTTTAGAAAGTATTAGAAGGCTCTAAACATTTGAGTTTATGGAAAGATTTTCCCAGAATTATTTTACTTTACCCTACTGAGCTAACCTACTTGATTTTACTTAAGGAAGCTAGTGGCATCTCTAATCCATTTTCCAAAAGTCTTATAAAATAAATATCAGAGCCATTTGCACTGATTTTCTGGTAGTGCTTTGTACCAATTGTAGTCTAGACTGCTTTGATGTTCAATGAAGTTACAGAGTTTAAAATAAAAATGAATCAGTCAGACATGCAGAAGGAAAGCTTTAGAAAGAAACTGGAGGACACAGAGACATGAATGCATGAGACAGACAGAGGAAATCTGTTTTAGATGGAATCTGCTGCTGAGAAGACAAATCACTTATTGCTGCCATGCATAGCTATGAGGTGATTCCAGATGGTGCCATTTGCTGAATAGAGATGGGAACAGAAGATGTAAGAATCAAGATGTATATCTCTGAAGTACACTGGAAATTCACACAGGATTTTAAGAGGAAGATGAAGCCTTAGACTAGACCCCGAAATCAAAGAATTGTTTTGAGATTAAGGCAGTGCAGCTTATGCAACTTTGCATATATGCAAAGTCGTAAGAAACACCATTGATTTTATGCATTTCTATAAAGCTGGATGTTTGAAACCACAGAGAAAAACAGAATCATGGAACACAGCAGGGAAACTCTGAGAAGAAGGAGAAAAATCTAGGAATCACTAAATGTTTGGAAATGGCAGCTCCATCAGAAAATGAAAGAATAGAACAGGAGAAAAGGAAACTATGGCAGAATAAACTTGACATCCAAAGAGAAAGGACTGCATGCAAGCATTCATCACATTCTTTTGCCATGGATTATGGATATTTTTTCTTGCATTAATAACAAACAAATAACAACAACAACAACAAACCCCCAAATCTCAGCAACAACAAAGAATGGATACTAAACAGCTACTGAGTAATAAACGAGTAACTGCCTCCACTAAGCTTAATTCTTTCTAACATCCCAAATAAAAAAGTTAGGTTACTACTCACCTTGATTTGCAGTCCCCTGAAGAGTTTTGGCTTATCACTCCTGACAAAAGCTATGGTTTGGGGAAATGAAAGAAAGAAAATCAAACTCTTTTCCACTTGCAGAAGGTAAATTTACATTCAAACTAGCATAGCTCAAATTATGTCTTTTGGAATGATGCTGTAGAAGGTATTTTACTGTTAAAATTCTTGATACCCTCACAACATCAGTAATATTGAACCTATTATGCCTAAGGAACACCCAATTTTTGCTTGTATTCCAAAAGAGCTCAATATCTGCTTGGATTTCTCTCCCAACACTAGTGCAACTGTCAGTATCAGTTTATCTGCATACACAACTGACAGTCTTCAGCAGACTGTCCCATATGCTGCTGCGATCTGCAAATGTGAGGAATTAAGAGGGATCAAAATCTGCAGCAGATTTTGTGAGGAGGCTGAACATGACACGTCCCATCAACATGTTCCACACGACCTGCAACAGTGCGGGTGAAAGGGCACAGGGGAACTGGGGGAGGTGTGTGTTATTCTTGCAAACAAGACGGACAGTCTTGTTTTGCAGAGATAGCTGAGCTTACATGTCAAAAACCAGGAAGAAAACAAGAACAGAAAACAAGAAAGAAAGCTGGTATTGCCTCTTGACATTCCTAAAGGTTATCAGCTTTACGATGAATTCTATGGCCTGTCATACAGCTACATGGAGGAAAGTTCAGGTCTGAGGTCCCTTGGAGTATTAATCAGCAAAAAGCCAGCATTAATAGCAGCATAGTCCCTGTTTCCCTACAACACAACCCAGGCCTTAACTTTACAAAGACTGTATTAACTATTCCAGGACAAAGTGTGAGCATAATCCCCCTACTTCCGAACACTTTGGCCTAATGAATGTCTGTGTTCTACAAGTATTTAAAATTTAGGTAACAGTGTCATCTTCATTGCTCCTTCTTAGATTCAGGTTATACCAAAGGGTGAGTTTAGTATTTGTACTGCCACTAAGTGGATTCAAGACACTCCCATAGTATGTGAGTAGAATCACCCAAAGATGAACCCTGTTGATATGGACTGACTCTTACAAAGGTACTAGCTGCACGTTAAAGCAGTTTTTTAAGGTTAGACAACAATGAATCTGGCTTACTGCTCTTCATGCCAACCCCTCTTCAGTGATGCACTATTAAAAGTGCAAATCATAAAGCTATTAGAGCAAGGGACTACAACACAACCCAGGCCTTAACTTTACAAAGACTGTATTAACTATTCCAGGACAAAGTGTGAGCATAATCCCCCTACTTCCGAACACTTTGGCCTAATGAATGTCTGTGTTCTACAAGTATTTAAAATTTAGGTAACAGTGTCATCTTCATTGCTCCTTCTTAGATTCAGGTTATACCAAAGGGTGAGTTTAGTATTTGTACTGCCACTAAGTGGATTCAAGACACTCCCATAGTATGTGAGTAGAATCACCCAAAGATGAACCCTGTTGATATGGACTGACTCTTACAAAGGTACTAGCTGCACGTTAAAGCAGTTTTTTAAGGTTAGACAACAATGAATCTCTTACAAATGGCAACATATTCAGCTGGTGCATGGAGGGGGGTGCAACCTCAGGACCAGTGTTTCATACCGCCTTGCAAAGTGTAATGCTTTCCTCCATCATTGTAACCATGTCTCCTAACACCTTTACACCTATCCCTGTACTACTGTAGACAGTTACCTTAACACTTTTTCAGTATATATATGCAGAATGGTATATATTTTCTTCCCTCTTCCACTGTGCTCGTGACACAGATCAAAAGCATACACCTTGCCTGCTGCACCAACCACTACATAGTATAAACAAGTTGAAAAAATACCAACAGCCCAATAAGCTGCCAGACATACTAGACACCTGAAGAAGAAAGTAAGGCTTTTCATTCTTTCTATAGAACTATACACTAAAGTCATATCCCAAGTTGTACTTGTACAGTTTATACTTGTACAATCTCAAATAGCACTAACTAACCGGTACATGCTCACATACTGCAGTTCAATTCTGATTTAACCTCACAAAGACATTATTTTCAACTTCAGTGTTTCCCATGTCCTTGTGACCTGTTAGTTGTCTTGGTGGTCATCAACAGTAAAATGCAAATAAGTGGCAAAGATATTTCTCATTCTTTGTTAAGTCCACAGCATGTCAAACTATTTCATGGGTAATTTTTCCACCTTTTTTTTTTTTTTTGTTTTTTTTTTCCCCAATTTAAATCTAAAGCCAGAATCAGTCTCTAGGTATTTATATGAAAAGGAAGTTGTAAGAAGCAAGCAGTCAGTACACTGGGTAACTTTAAGAAAAAAACTTGAAGAAAAAAAGTGTAGAAGCATAGTAAAATGGATAAAGTTTCAGAAGCAAATCTGAACTGTGGAACTCCATTGTATTAAAGAATAGCCTTTGGGGGTTAACTCAGGTTACAGCAGTTTAAGCGTGTAACAGGTGTGAGGATTTGTTACTTGAGTGACAGATGAAAAGCCCATTTGGACATGAGTGGCTGTTCTCTGCTGCAGTGTTGGACTCAACAAGCTCATAAAATGGGAACAGAATTAGGTGGAAGTAGAAAGTATTCTATAGGCAGTATTACATTTTGTTGCTTTAAAAGTAGCCATTACACATGCATGTCAAATGTCTAAATCTTCTGAAAGCTGAAGCATTACAGAACATTTTTTGTGAAATATTAGACATCTGGAATGAAATTGGTTTCTGTTAATGGCCTATTTATTTCTAATGCTGATCATAGTGACTTTCTGCATTAGTCACTTGAATTTGCAATGCAACAAAGAAAAACACTGTACAAATAACTTAATTTGTATATTCTCAATTTAGGAAGCTAAAGCGAGCAACTAATATCCTGAAATGCATTAAAAGTACATATTGTCTCATCAAACAAGAGCCTCTGAATCAAACTGATTAGGTTAAGAAGTCAGATGCAGCTACAGTGCATGTTTTGGGACATGTGGCTGCTTGCTTATCATACATGTGGTGCATATGCGCCACCTTCAGCACTGCCCCAACAATTACCCCTCTATACCCTGACATCAACATTGTTGCCTCCTACGAACCTGCCTCTGAAGGCTACTTGCACATCTTTACACCGCTGTTTAATAGTTTGATGTTGAACAATAAAATCCTAGCTATCTCCCCATTTCCTCTCCCTGTAGCAGCTTTAGAAATTACACACCACAGACAAACAAGCATTTATGGAATCCAACCATGAATAAGCAAGGAAGGCATTTTCCACTTTGACTTCCATCAGATGAACTGAGCTTGCTGCCATCATGCTATGTTCCGGTGAATTAAACACCAGACTAGAAGTCAGAGCTGTTCTACTACCAGCTTTGCAACTGTCCTTTCATATAAAGTTAAGAAAATCACTCCACCTTATGCTCTCAAAAACATGTGCAATCCCAAAGCATATGCCTTCCGTTTGAAGGCAACCCTGAGGTGAGCCCACAGAGCAGACTTGATGGCCATGCAATCTACTACAGCTGAAAGGCCAGAAGAGAGAATCAGCTGTGTATGGGCATTTGAAAAGCCTGCCCAGCACCAAACTTGTTTTGCAAAGAGAGGAAATACTAAAAAAGTGCTTTTAATGGCCCAAGAGCAGCCTCTGCCTATGAAAACAGTGGAAAGGCAAAACTCACTTCTGTCTTTATAATGTCCCTTTGTTTTGATACATAATGCCTCTTTGTTTTCAGAAAGTCTGAAAACCAGTCTGTTGGAATTAAAAGATGGAGTAGTAAGTGGAGATTATCAAGGAATCTAAGAATCCCTTGTGCCTAAATGGCAAGTCTGTGTATACACGTGAACACATCTGCACTATTCTGAAGTACAGTAGGATATATCATAATATAACTTCCTAGCCCAAAGTGTACGTGATGCCATCTCTCCATGCAGAGCTGCAGCTCTATATGTTAGGCAAAATTTCCTTGGCAGAGCTGACCACCTACTGTTAAATATTAAGGGCATGATCCGGACTACCAAGGATATTAACATTCAGGAATATTCACTTTATTTGGTTGCTGCTTTAGGAGCAAAGATCTCCTGCTTGATCTGTAACTAAAAAAATTAAAAAATGATGTTGAGAAAAAAAAATAAATCAAACTTATCTCTTAATATCTGAATGAGAGCCAATATATAATGGCAGTAAAATCTTGCACTAGTTTTCAAACAACTATGTGCACAGACAAACATTTTTAACCTTGTCTGTTTCTACATGAATCAGAAAGATCATAATGGCCTCAAAATCAGGAAGGCCTGGAGGAGATTAAAAAACCTTACTGTCTCTATTATATCAGCTTCAGATTTTAATGGCAGAAAAGCACAAGTCAGAACTAGTCAAATCTTCAGCACAAGGTCAGCCATAAATTTTTACTGCACAATTTTTCCTCCTGGTAAGCTAAAGCATATCTTCTGGCAAGAATCTAATGTGGTTAAGTATCTGCCAGTAATGGAAAAGTCCACTTGTTCAAACTTCTGATCTTTTTGTTATTCAAAAAAGCTGTGCTTTTAGTTTAGATTTATTCCATTGCTTACTGTTACAACACTTTTGAGGACAATGTATGCCCACAGGGATTCATCCCACTTTTTAAACTGGACATACCATTCTCAGTCAATGCTATTTTTCTAGCAAACAGAACCCTTTGGTTCTTTTAAACTCATGATGCTGTGTATGAATCCACAGCTTCATATTACAGATAAGTCTTAGAAAAAATGCTGATTATGCACTGAAAAGCAGCAGCATACTTTTTAATGAGGTGACTGTTCCTCAGTATTAGACCAAAAAAGCCCATTGTGTGATCAGGGCAAAGAATTGTTAGTGCTCTGAGAGCAACATGAGAAAGGAATGCTTCCATTGTCATTTATGAGTACAGAAGGAATGTTTCAAAATTAGTATAAAGGATGATCTATCTTTAGAGAAATATTTAAAATATTTTTGTGATGCATTTAAAGGTTTCACACACTGAAAGAGCAGCAGGAGGCACATGAATGATTACTATCTTTTAAAAGACATTTTATCTAATGGGTAAC